GGATGGGGTGTGTGAGTGTGTTTGTCTGCCTGTGCGTGAGTGTGTTTGTGTGTGAGTGAGTGTGTTAGTGTGTGTGTGTGTGTGTGTGTGTGTGTGTGTGTGTGTGTGTGTGTGTGTGTGTGTGTGTTAATGTGAGTATGTGAATGCGTGCATATGATGTTTTACTTCACGTGTGTATGTGTGTGTATGTGTGAGTATGTGTGTATGTGTGTGTATGTTTGTATATGTGGGCAAGTGTATGTATGTATGTGTATGTGTGTAAATGTTTGTGCGTGTATGTCTGTGTGACGTTTTAATGTATAGACTCTACATGTGTGTGTAAATGTGTGTATGTGTGTATGTGTGTGTATGTTTGTATGTGTGGGCAAATGTACGTATGCATGTGTATGTGTGTAAATGTCTGTGTGTGTGTATGTCTGTGTGACGTTTTAAGGTATAGACTCTACATGTGTGTGTGTGTGTGTGTGTGTGTGTGTGTGTGTGTTGTTAAACAAATTCCCCACAGTTGTCCTTACCTTTTGACGTCAGTAAGGTCACCAGATCCACGTGACCTCGTTGTCCCTTGACCTCTCTGTCGACTCTCCCTGGAAACTGTAGCGAGGGAAGTGACGTCACACTATCAACTGTCAAAAACGTTACAAGTTATTGTTCTAGATTGGATATACACACTCACTGACTCACTGGCTGGCACATTCTGTAAGAGAAAAATTGAAATGTCCGTTATAGGTCCTAGAATGGTGGCCGACATAAGCACAATGCTACACACACGAGTTGGGATAATGAACATCAGAGAAATCTTTTCTTTCCTCCGAATTCAAACCACAGCAGCTTGTAAGTCCACCTAGCCATGCGGTGGCCTCACAATAACAGGTGCGACCATCTCTGGTGCGACCGCGCGCCCACGCGCACAGATAGATAGAGAGATAATAAGAGAGACACAGAGAGACACAGAGAGAGAGAGAGAGAGAGAGAGAGAGAGAGAGAGAGAGAGAGAGAAAGTATGAGAAAGTCATATCCCGACATAATAATTTCTCTCACAGAGAGAGAGAGAGAGAGTGTGTGTGTGTGTGTGTGTGTGTGTGTGCGTACGTGTGTGTACACGTGTACACACACACAAGCACACACACACACACACACACACACACACACACGTACAGGCACTGTTACGACACCGGTATGAAGGACTTGGGCAACCACGTTTGCCGTCTTCACTTCCCTGCAGTGTGCTCCTGTCCTCGTCTATTTTTAGTCCGTGCAGGAAGTTCTTTTGTACACAACAACGGTGTCGGGCGTCGGGTGTAGTTATGTGTGTAAAGTGTAATACAAGGAGATATAGGGATGGGGAGGGGTGGGGGCGAGAAGGATGTTTTAATGTAAGTGTTTTACGCCCCCATCAATACTTTAAAGATCCTTTTGAAGGGGGGGGGGGGTGGAAAGTTGTTGTCATGGCAGGTTCGTCTGTATAATTCAAATCCAAGTCACTAACCCAGGGACAAAACAAGCTAGCAAAGGAGTGGAATGACGTCTATAAGACTATTTTAACGAAGTGATTCCACACACCGGGTGTGCAAATAAAACAGTTTTATTCACACCGGGTGTGCCAATAATTTATTATTTTTATTCCCACCGGGTGGGCGCGAATAATTTATATTTTATTCACACCAGGTGTGCGAATAAGAAATAATTCTATTCGCACAGGGTCGTTTCGGTTACTAAAACTGCGCGAGGTGAGATCGGCAAATGGCCCACCTACCGCTGTGTCATTTTGAGGAAAACTGGTGGTCAAAGGGGCATCAGTAGGCGGCCTATTGTGACATCAAAATCAATGTTGTGTGTCTTCATGCAACAACAACTACACTCTAATGCACTGGAGAGCTATCATTCTAAAATCACAAAGATTGTTCATTAAAAAAATGACCCTGTCTCGTGCATTGGCTGGCTTACTTACTTACTTGTCTTACTTGTCCACTGTGTTGTGGTCACTGCAGTCGGAACATGTCCATCTCTGCTCCCCCCTCCCCTCTTCAGGATCCATCCCAGAGTCTGTCTGCTTATAGTCTCCATCATAATCTGGTTGGAGATCCGTCGGACTGGTCCGCACAGATGGCTGTGTTTCCCCTCTCCTCTTTGGATCCCCTTCTCCTTCAATCTACCTAGAGTGTGGGAACCGCTATCCGCCCTATTCTTTCTCAAATTTTCCCTTACAGCTGGCTGGCTTGGTCGAATTCAACAAGTCCAAGATTACAGAAGAGAAAGGAAAACAACTTTTTACTGCTATGTTGAAATTCCAATATTTATGATTACCGAGACCAGGACAGTTCGTCGACCAATATTACAAATCTTTGTCTAGGTTTGGAGCTGAGCTTGTCAAATTTTAATGTGAGCTTATTCTGTCAGCAAGTGTGAACTTCACTGTATTACAAGATCGGTTGGGGGAGGGGAGGGATGTTGTTGTTACGTACAAAGACAAGCACCACACAACAACACCAACCGAGGTTCTCTCTCTCTCTCTCTCTCTCTCTCTCTCTCTCTCTCTCTCTCTCTCTCTCTCTCTCTCTCTCTCTCTCTCTCTCCCATCGTCTTCTCCTCAACAGATGAACATACCCCCTGCACTTAGTCTAAACAGTTGTTTTCAAGTGACAAAAGGGGCAAAGAAGGGAGCGATGTGGATGAGGTGGGACAAAGGGAAACGGATGTGAATTTTGTGTTTTTGAGGGATGGTGGTAGGTGGGGCCGATGAAGGAGGGAGTGGGTAAAAGAGGAAGAAATAGAGGGACACGGAGTGGG